ACCACCTCCTCCCTGCCCCTGCCCTTCCCAGGGAGGAACTCCCAGCCTTGACATGCAGAAAGCCAGCAACAGCAGATTATTATTCTCGTTGGTAGCGATGAGGCTCACAGACCCCATAAAAAGAGAAACTTTGGTGATGGCAGAGAGAATTCTGGGAAGTCCATAGCAGAGCCGGGCTGGTCAGGGGATGTCCAGATGTTTAAGGATTTGGGGGCATTTAGACCCATCAGAGCATACGTGAGTGCAGGACCCAGAAGCCCTGGCCCAGGGTTTGTTGTGCTTTACGGCTTCTGTATCCCATGGCCTCCCTGAAAGGAAGCCCATAGTTCCTGATTTCTTTCTCAATAATGACTTGCCCCTCTTCCAGGGCTGAGCCTGGCCCTCAGGGTAAGTAGGACCCATTTCTCCCAACACATGAGAATATTTGTGGGGCTCAAACCCCATTAGGAAGCCACTAAACTTGGTATCTGAACCTTTGGAACAACATCCACTTGCTGTTTTGCTCTTTCTTAAGCCTGATGACCCTAGTTACTTCTGTGGCCCTGGTGAGACTCCTGGAAGTGAGCAGATGCCATATTTCCTCCTATGTCAGGAATACAAGTATGCTCTTGTATCTTCCAAGAGGATACAGCTGCATGGGCTCAGGGTGTCTCTGTGTCCAGATGAGCTGGCCACAGACCCTACTCTTGGGCAGAGAGTTGCCCCTGCTGCCCGGTCTCCTCTCTGGGTCAGGGAGTGGGGGCAGCCACAGCCAAGAGCAATGAGAGCCTGGGAACTTATCCCAGAGAAGAGCAGTGTGTCCCAGAATGCCAGTCAGTATCACAGCTCCTTGGGGAAGAAAGGTCAGGACAGATAGTACTTCCTCCAAACAATAGCAGCTGACATCTGCTCACAGAGCCCAGCTGCTGTGCAGGGGTCTGATTTACACTCAAAGAGGTGTCTGAAAACTCTCAGACCCTTTGCTTCCAGTTGACACAACCTAGTCATAAAGCCTCCAGTGGGCACAGGGAGGGACTTGGGCCAGAAAGTAGTAGATGGGGATTCAATTAACGTCACAACCTCCATTTAAAAGAAGGACACTGGCAGAAGAGTGTATTCTTGGGGCCTCAGTTTCCTCAACTGTAAAATGAGCCAGCATCGCTCCCTGCAACACTAAAGATTTTGACTCTGTCTAACCTTGGTGTTATTGCCAAAAGACTCTGAACTCCCCTGGATGAAGGTTGCTATTTCAGGAAAAGAGCAAGACAAATATGGATGGGGTTCCCCTAATCAAGAAGGGAAAGGTAGTCTCCTGGGAGATCATGGCTGCCCTAGTAAAGACGACTTTAGACTAGACTCGCTAAGGCTTAAATCTCCTTTCATCACTCCCTCTATTGCAGTGGTTCTCAAAGTTCAGTGTGCATCAGACTCCCCTAGAGGGCTTGTTAAAACACAGTTGACTGGGATCCACCTCAGGTCTACTGATTCAGACTCTGGGAGTAGAGCCTCATAATTTGCATATCTGTCAAGATCCTGGGTGATAATGATGCCATGGGTCTGGGATCCCACTTTGAGAACCACTGCTCTAATGGCTGTCCATTGCAACTAGAACAAATCCTGCAAGGTATGAATGGTTCTCAACTTTGGCTGCACATGAGAATCACCTGAGGGAACTTTGAAACCTAAGAATGCCCAGTTCCTGTGTCAGATAAATTAATTAAGGTCTCTGGGGATAGGGCCCTGACTCTGTATGTCTTCCCAGATTATTCAATGTGCAACCAGGGTTAAGAACCACTGTCCCACCTGATCTGGCCCCTGCCTTCCTCTAAAGTCACCTCTCATCACTTTGGCCCTCCTTATCACAGTATTGTAGCTTTCCTGGCCCTGTCTCTGGCCTACAGATAGTGCAGGCTTGCTTCCACCCCAGGGACTTCACACTCACTCTTCCGTCTTGCCGGCAACACTCACGCCCCAAGTCTTTGTGAGGTTGCCTCCTTCTCGTAACTCATGCCATCTCCTCAGGAAGGCCCTTTCTGACACCCCGAGCTCAGGTAGCCATCAGCACGCATCAGTAGACATTGTTCATCTCATTGCAGTATTTTCCTCATGGTACCCATTATCCACATTTATTCACTTATTTGCATGCTCACCTTCTATTCCCTCTACAACAGCGTAAGCTTTATGAGGGCAGGGGTTTTATTTATCTTGTTCCCAGGCTGTCCCTAGAACCTGGAACAAGGCCTTGTACCCAGGAAATAATAAATACATGTTGGTCACGTGAGGTACGAAGAATACATCATAAGTGAGCACACCGCATGGGAGCCGATAAAGGAATTGCTTAAAAAGAGGGAGCGAAATACCTTGTAGGATCCCTTGCAGAGGTCGTAAGATCTCAGGAATAGTAAAGAGGCACACGGAGCTGACACCATGGGTTGTTTGAATTCAATTAGACGGACCACAAAAAATTGTCAGAATTGAGATTTCGGGTCGAAAGGGTAAAAAGGCATTTCAGCAAGTTGGGTGACTTGTGGATAGTGCTGGGTCTGTAGATTTTAAATGCTGACAGTCACTGCACTACTTGTGTGTACAGCTCTTGCCCCCGCCCTCTGGGTGGTTTTAAAGGCCACAGGCAAATTGTACAAAGGGAGGAGAGGAGGTGTAAGGAGCCGAGAGCCCACACACAAGAAACAAGTAGGCTTGGGGCTCCAGGACCCAGAAAGTAAGTCCCACGTGGGTCATGGCCCCCTAAGGAAAAAGGTGACCTAGACACCAGAATGAGAGGAGAATGCTATTTTGGTGGCTAAATGCTTAAACAGGAAATAATACAAAGTTCACAAAAGATTTGAGGCATGGAAATGGGGAGGCGGGGAGCCCAAATCCTAAAATCTGAACAAGGAGTAACTGTCAACTGTTGTACATGGAGCCAGAGATGCTAAAATAAGATATCAAGGCCATTTAAAAATTATTTTCCTTTCCTCCAACAAGTACAGCTAAGAAGCAAGCTCTGCTGAGACACAGGGAGCAGAGAGGGCCACGTTCAAATGCCGCGCTGCCACTCTTTGCCCACATGTTACCTAGCGGCTCCTCACTGCCCTCCGTGCTCCTCTCTGACGGCGGGCGGAGGGTGCTGGGTGGTGCCTAGCGCCGCGCCTGGCACGTGGTCAGGGGCAGTTTTTACGGCCACCACCTGCTCGGCACTAGCTTTTCCGTGCAGGAGCCTGCCCGCGAAGGTGCCAGAGTGCAAGCCTGGCCCCCCTTTGTGGCTGGAGAGCCCCGCCTCTGAGCCCTTCCCCTCCGCCCACAGACCCTGCAGAATGAGATCCTGGGCCATGCGCCACGGGTGGAGGACGTGCTGCAGAGAGGGCAGCGGCTGGTGGAGGTGGCGGAGGTCGACTGCCAGGACATCGAGGAGCGCTTGGGGCGCCTGCAGGGTTTGTGGGACACCCTGCGGGAGGCAGCGGCCAGGAGGCTGCAGCGCCTGCGGGACGCCAGCGAGGCACAGCAGTACTACTTGGACGCAGGCGAGGCCGAGGCCTGGATCAGTGAGCAGGAGCTCTACATCATCTCCGACGAGACCCCAAAGGTCGGCCCGGGCTGGGGGGGGTCAGGCTGGGGCAGTCGGGGGGCAGTCACACCTGGTACGTCCGGCTGTGTGAGGATACCCGCTACAGCATACACACTGCAGTCAGGTGCCCTGTCTGCCAACTTAGATTTGACCTAACCCAAGATTTCCTCACCTTTCTCATGCCATGGATTCTTTACTGATGGACTGCCACGGGAGGGATGGGAGATGAGGTGTGCGGGATATCTAAGCAAGTTCTCCTGGGGTCAGAAGGGTGGAGCTGGGCCTGGGAGGGTAGGAGTCAGAAAAGAACCAAGAGGAAGGTAGGATGTCGTGGGAAAGGAATCACAGGAAGGAATCATGCACAGTTTTCTTTGTGTGTGTCTGGGGGGGGGGGGGGGGGGGAGGGTCCCGTGAGCCTGGCTACCCCCCCTCCCCCCCAGTCTCGAGCACCTCCCTGAGCAGGTGCCCTGACAGCCGCTGCCTCCTAGGATGAAGAGGGCGCCATCGTGATGCTGAAGCGGCATCTGAGGCAGCAACACACGGTGGAGGAGTACGGGAGGAACATCAAGCAGCTGGCCTCCAGGGCCCAGAGCCTGCTGTCTGCAGGCCACCCTGAGGGGTGCGTGTGCACCAAGAGCGACTTGGCCGGGGCCCCACCAACCGGGATCCCTGCGGGTCCAAGTGGGAAAATAGCAACAGTTTTGGGGAAAATAGCAACAGTTTTCATGGAAACTGTGGGTTTGAGAAAACTGCTGATTGGCCCAATTCCATTTCATGTTTCGGTTTTGTGTGAGTAGCTTCAAATGGGGCCAACTAAAAGCCTGATTTGCAAAAAGATCAGAAAATGCAATAGCAAAACTCCCCTCTTGGTGAACCAAGAGGCCTAATCTTTCGTAGAGTTAGATTATGCTAAGAGACACTGAAGAGTAACTTCGCTTTTCTCTTTGTGGTCCAGAGGATACTTCAGGATCTCACAGTGTCTCAGCAAAATCATTGTGTGGGCATGAAGGTAGAAAACCGACACCCATCTAGTTGGTTCTGCACAGATGGGGGCCCACTGGGTTGCACACCTCAGGCTGCACCTCCCACCCTGGGCTCAGCCCTGTCCTCAGCTGCCCACAGGGCATACACCACTGTGGGGTTTCAGCATCCACCGCAGCATCTCTCAGGGGAGCCCCAGGGGTTGAGCGCCTGGGACCACAGGCCCCTCCCTGCTGGCGCTGGAGCCCGCTCACAGTGCTGCTCCTTCAGCCTCCTTGGAGGAATATGGAGGGGCTTCTTTTTTGTCTCTCTAAGCTTCCCTGGGTGATGGATAATGGTGGGAGGCACCTTGAGGCATTCTGGGCTCAGGGATGGTTCTTTTTTTCTCCCCAGCACTTCCCCGGGGAACGCTGCTGTCATTTCCCCTGCCTTCCCTCCCCATGTATCCCTGCCACAGGTGGGAGGAGTACATCAGCTCCCCTGCACTAGCTGCTCTGGGCTCTCTGCCTCCATCTCTGAGTGCCGTCTTATGTTGAATTCCAGGGAACAGATCATCCGGCTTCAGGGGAAGGTGGACAAGCAGTATGCAGGGCTGAAGGACATGGCGGAGGAGCGCAGGCGGAAGCTGGAGAACATGTACCACCTGTTCCAGCTGAAGAGGGAGGCGGATGACTTGGAGCAGTGGATTACGGAAAAGGAGCGGATGGCCTCTTCCCTTGAAATGGGGCAAGACTTCGACCATGTCACTGTGAGTACTCACAACTGCTTTCTCTGTCTTCCTCGAATGCCATAGTAGCAGGAGCGGTCACTCCGGGCGCGCACGCACGCACGCACGTGCACACACTGCTACCCGGAGATGCAGACACCACTGTGGACTCAGGCTGCCCTGGGCAGGTGTGGGACTGTGGCTCCAGGTGCTCTGGCTGCCACTCAAGAAAGTCTGCAGCTGGGGTGATGACACCACCCCACCCCTGGGCCCCATAACCACGTTTCTGTTTACCCCGTGTCCAGCTGCTCCGGGACAAGTTCCGGGACTTTGCCCGGGAGACTGGGGCGATTGGGCAGGAACGGGTGGACAACGTGAACATGATCATCGAGCGGCTCATCGACGCAGGCCACAGCGAAGCGGCCACCATCGCCGAGTGGAAGGATGGGCTGAACGAGATGTGGGCGGACCTGCTAGAGCTCATCGACACGCGCATGCAGCTGCTGGCCGCCTCCCATGACCTGCACCGCTACTTCTACACGGGCGCCGAGATCCTGGGCCTCATCGATGAGAAGCACCGTGAGCTGCCCGAGGACGTGGGGCTGGACGCCAGCACTGCCGAGTCGTTCCACCGGGTGCACACTGCCTTTGAGCGGGAGCTGCAGATGCTGGGCTTGCAGGTGCCTTCTGTCCCCTGCTGCCCACCTGCAGGCTCCAGGGACCTGCCTTTCACATCTTTCCCATGACCAGGCCCCCGGGGGCGTCGAGGCCTCTCTGGCTTCTAGAGGTGAAACCTCTAGAATGGACACCAGGAAATTTCACCTCCTAAGAAAGGCAACAGCTCGGGGCAGAAAGGCAGGGAGCTGCGGCTTTCAGACATTCCTTAGCTTCAGAAGTAGTTCTTCAAACTGAATCTTCAGAAAAGCCCAACGCAAAACATATCTTAAAATGTTCTTTCTCTGGTCGTATAACAGTGTTACGAGCGAACATATATGTATGTTCCTTTTCTAGCACCAGGTATGGGTATAAGCAATCTATTTAGGCACTGAATCCTCATTGCCACCCCCTGAAGTAGCTTCTAACATTATCTGCATTTTATAGATGAGGAAAGCAAGGCATAGAGAGAGTGAACAAGTTGGCTGGGAACACATAGATCAACAGTGGAGCCAAGATTCAGATCCTGGCAGTCTGGCTATACACACCATGCCCTCAGCCACCAGGCTGTTTGGTCTTTCTATATGGGAGCTGGAGGGACCCCAAGATCTGCTTAGACCCCCTCTTCCCATCACTGGAAGGCCTCCAAGACACCTCTGAAGGTCCATAGGGCTCCACAGAACTTGATGTGATCGAAAGGGTGAGAGCAAAGGATCTTAATGCCGGGGCCTCGGCGGCCTCCCAGAGAGACTGGGAGAGAGGCTAGCTGTGGAATCCTGCACCCACCCATCAGGGTTCAGGGATGGGACGCCAAGGCCGGTTGGGCCCTGGTTCACCCAAGAGAGGACCTCCCAGGAATTTGTCCAGCTGGAGGTGGGGTCTGTCATGAGGCTCTTGTGCCTTGTGGATGCCAGAGCCCCTGAGGTGGGCACAGCTTGCTGAAGTCTCAGGAATAAGGCTTCATTGTGCTGGGACTGGCCTTAGACAGGGGGTCCGGTACAGCCCCTTCCTCAGAGAGGCAGCATGTTGAGTGGTTAAGAACAGGAACTCAGGAGCATACCCCCAGTCTGCACCCCTCTTCTAGTGTGAATGACCTCAGGCCAGTCACCAAGCCTCCCTGTGCCTCAGTTTCCTCGTCTTGAAACCAGGGATCACAATAGTACCTCTTTCATGGGATGGTTGTAAAGATTAAGAAAGTAATAAATAAGAAAATGTTTAGAACAGTGCCTGGCACATAGTTACTCCCATTAATTCTAGGGAGATCAAAGGGCATAGGGTCCCTTCCACTCCTGTATCCTCCTCAAAGCCCCAGGGATAGCATGGGTCCATAGAGGCCAAAACAAGGTGCCTTTTCCCCCAGTGTTGGTGGGAGGCTGAAGATCTTGCCTTCTAGAAGAGCCCTGGGGAGGGAGACCAGGAGGAGACAGATCCCTTGCCCTTGCACATCAGAGGCCCAAGACACGTCTTTCTGGCGAACAACGTCCAATTTCACCCGACCACAGGTACAGCAGTTCCAGGACGTGGCCACCCGCCTGCAGACAGCATACGCTGGGGAAAAAGCAGATGCCATCCAGAACAAGGAGCAGGAGGTGTCTGCTGCGTGGCAAGCACTGCTCGACGCCTGCGCGGGACGCCGTACCCAGCTGGTGGACACGGCAGACAAATTCCGCTTCTTGAGCATGGTCCGAGACCTCCTCTCCTGGATGGAGGGCATCATCCGGCAGATCGAGACCCAGGAGAGGCCCAGGTAAGGGGGACGTCCTCAAGGCAGCCCCTCTCCTCAGCCACTTGGTCCCAGAGGCTGGCGGACCAGTGCGCTGCCCTCGGGGCACTACTCCTCCTTGGAGAGACAGTCCTGGACTGTGGGGGCACCTGAGGCTGGGCCTGGGCAGAAACTGAGTGGCTCAGCTTCTAGTGGGGGGGGACCAAGCACTTCAGAGTGAAGGGAGCCCTGAGAGTGGCGAGAAAGACCTCTGCCATTCAGATCTGACGGCAGGGCGAGGACCACAGCTGTCAGTGAAAATAAGCACTTCACGTACCCGAAGCTGGGCAGGTCCGAGACTGTGCACTCTTCCTCCCAGTGCTGGGCTGGGGAGCTCAGGAAGGAGCTCATTGTCCATGAAAGGCAATGGTCACCAGCCCACCTCTGTCCCTGTGTCCTAGGGTGCCCATCCTGATGGCCAAGCCTTTATATTTAACATTGTTACCCTGAAGTAACTCACATACCATATAATTCAGCCTTTTAAAGTGCCCCATCCAGGGGTTTTTTTTTTGCAACCATCACCGCAATCCAAGTTTAGAAGATTTTCATCACCCCTAAAAGAGACCCTGTACTCTTTAGTAGTCATCACCCCATGATTTCCTCCTCCCCCAGCCCCTGGCGACCACGAATCTGCTTTCTGTCTCTCTAGATTTGCCTATACTAGACTGCTCATAGAAAAGGAATTCTACATTATGTGGTCTTTCATGATTGGCTTCTTTCACCTGGCACAATCTTTCTAAGGTTCATCCATGTTGTAGGATGTGTCGGTACTTTATTCCTTTTTGTTGTCAAATAATGTTCTCAGGCTTCTTTGGGGGTTCCCAAATCCCCCGCCTATCCCCTGCCAACTGACCAACGGCAGACACCAGGGCATCAGTATTCCTGCTGGGGCTGGGCTGCCCAGAGAGAGAGGAGGAAGTGTGTTCAGACTCTCAGGCAGGCAGGGGGTGGCCCTCTCCAGTCAGGACTTGGCATCAGGCAGGCCAGAGTCACCCAGAGTCTCCTTCTTCCCCCAAACTCCCTCCTCGATTCCTGACCCTCCCCCCTTCCCCAGGGACGTCTCCTCAGTGGAGCTGCTCATGAAGTATCACCAGGGCATCAAGGCAGAGATTGAAACCCGGAGCAAGAACTTTAGCGCCTGCCTGGAGCTGGGCGAGTCCCTGCTGCAGAGGCAGCACCAGGCCTCGGAGGAGGTGAGAGGGACAGTGGGGTGAAGATGAGCCCCTCCGTGTCCTTGCCCTCACTCTTGCTGGGCCAGACAGCTTCCTGGGGAAGGTGCTGGGGGCCATGGTTTCTCTGAGGAGACTCCTCTTTCTTTCACTCATGGAGCATCAGGGCTGTGTGCAGGCCCAGGGATTAGAGCCTCACCAAACCCATCCAAGATTGGCAGCTTAGTAGTGGAGAGCAGTCTCACAACCCGCCTAACCAACCATGACATGCACACACGTGGGATTGGCAACACCCATTTCCTAGGGTGAGGCACATGTGCCTCAGAGAGGTTAAGTAACTTGCCCAGGGTTGCACAGCTGGCAAGTGGCAGGGCCAGACTTGAAGTCAGATCCATGTGACCAAACCCAGCATGCTTTGCAGGATCCATTTGCATACCATCCCAGACAGGGGAAAGGTTTCCCAAAGCCTGAGTGATTCTCCCTTCCTTCCCCCAGATCAGTGAGAAACTGAAGCAGGTGCTCTACAGGAGGAAGGAGATGAACGAGAGGTGGGAGGCCCGCTGGGAGCGGCTCCGCATGTGTGAGTACCTCTGGGACCCAGAACCT